GACTTGGGTGTGTGGGAAGTGAGGTGGGAAGGAAGTCCATACCTGACAGGCTTTCTACCAATCAGATCATGCCGTTACTGAGAAATAAACAAGCATTTTCACCATCACAGCACAGTCGTGAGCTCATACTAACGGAACTGTTCAGTTATAAACACTGTGAGGATGTTCTGAATTTAGTTTCATAAACACTTCGTGTCCTACCACATGCAAAAAATCATTAACACTATATCTTTAACTTATTTTATAATAGCAATAATTACTTCCTTATTGGTCTCTACCAATCAGGTAATGACCAGCTAGAGCATTAAACACCTTCTGCTTTACCCTGGGCTCTTCACTCCTTTAGCTAGTCATTATCTGATCAGCACAGCCTCCAAACAAGTCACTATTGCATAATTTTATTGACTTTAACAATGTGGCTTTGTCCACATAAATATCTGCAGATGATAGCATGCTGTGCATAGCTGAGTCAGACATCTATTTACATTGATGCCTGTTCTAATAATAATTTGGTTCAAATCTCATTGCTGAGGTTTAATGTAGGTGTTGAATAAATCCACTGAATTTGACTAAAACATGAACATAACACAGACAAATAAAACGTGTCACTCTTCGCCATACTGTGCAAACAAATAATTTAGCAAAATTATCAGATTCTTTGATCTTTCCATGAAGCAAGTGCAACCAATGTTTTAAAAGCAGACAACCAAATTTAGAAGGGCTTGAATAATGGATACACCAATGTGCCAGTAGATAAAAACTTACGTTTCTAATCATTCCAAACTGTTTCCCCCTAAATGAAGTCTCTTTGTTTGCAGTTAAATATTCTGAAGACGCCTGTTTAACCAGTTGAAAATCGTGATGCTATTAAGAGGTTATCCTTAGTTATAAAAAGACTCCAACACGCCTAGGAATGTGATCTCCTTTGCAGATCATTGTAAAGAATGTGGCATGCTCCTGCTTTGTCTGGAGAGAGTCATATTAGTGATCCCAAGAGAGAAAAATAACACAGGTTTTAAAATGAAGATATTTAAAATGTGTAACATTTCAGTGTTACTGTAACCTAGCATTTTATGTTCATCCTATAAAGCTTAAATTAAGCCTCCTAGGAATGGCTGTGTACCTCTTGCTGCTGGTTTTGTCTAAAAACAAAATACACTTTAAATGGAAATGTTACAGTACAAGAGTACACGTTAACACTCCATCATAATTGTACTCTCTATTTTCTCCCTTCATTTCAAAACATAGGCCCAGGGAAAGGATAATGGATCTTTAAATTCAAGCTCATCTGAAATGTAAACTTTTAGCAAATAGCTATTGCTTATAAAGCTGAATATAGTGATTGGCAGCAAATTCTTTTTTTTTTTTTGTCCATGTAACATTTTGAAATACTCATCAGTGTCAAGTGAAACTGCACGAATCGCTGTTGCTATTCTAAATAAGGCAGAGCAATGTTAAGAAAAACGTCAAAAAAAAATCTCAATGGATTAAAATTACACTTCTGTACCATGTCAGTGCTGATGGCAAACCTTAATGTTTTGCATAATTTCAAAGGATACTCTTCATAAAACATTCAATACATAAACAGGTTGTGGGGTTTTGTTTTCAACGTCTAAGATCACAATTGATGGTAATAGGCAATATTAATTGTTTTTAAATCCTGTTATTCTTTAAAATGCATTTTGTGGTTACAGATTATAAATAAAATCAAAAGAAACCGGGCTACAGTTTCACACCAATATGCAACCTAGAAACAAAAAGCCATTTTCCAGTCTCTCTCTCTCTTTTCTTTTTAGTCACTTACACGAGTTTTCTGAATAAACTGGATTAACTGTATTTAAAACAGGAGATAGAAAGCAGATTTTTATTGCATTAAAACATTATTCAGGGTATCCACAATCTTATAAATACATTTATGGCTGGCTCTAATCCTTCATATTTTTGGCATTTCATAGTTTAAGGAAAATAATCATATAGCAATAAAAATATGGAATGAGTAATTAATAGAGAAAATATTAAGACAAACAATATTTTATAATATTTTCTGGCTGAATGTTGAAAACCTGCTGTGATGTTTTTGTTTTAGTTTTGCAACACTATTATAAACCTATGATACAATTACTAATTTAACTGAGATATAGTTTATTACATTAGAATGGAAAAAATACAATGCATACAGCAAACAGAAGCTATATTAAAAAATCATGGCAATATTGTGATCAGAAGACCAAGGTTGATATCAGCTAAATTTCAATGTATTTTTTCAAAAACAGGTACCAAAAAAAAAAATTAGACAAATTTGCCTCTTAACCTTTAAAGATTTCCTGCTATTCCTGTATGTCCTTTATTACATTAATTTTTTATTTAAATTACACCATTAACTGGATATGAATTTATCAAGAATACATATATTGATTTATAAAACAGTATCATTAATTATTATAATAGCTAGATGTAGCTGATATTACAAAGCCATTTAAAGGTTTTTAATATAACTTGGACATACATAGATAGATAGACATTATGGACAAGACTACAATTTAAACTGGCGACCAGCAGTTAATGAAATCCTTGATTTATCTTCTAGTTTACAGATTGATTATATTGTTGCTTTGTAACATTATTTATATTATGTCATTTTTCAAAGGATGTCTTTTTTTAAAAAAAGCTAAATAAAATATTCAGTCAATTCTCCAAGCAGATTTTGTTTTCTATATTTTAAATGCTGGTGATAATAACTGGACTATATGAGTTTTTGAGACTTATCATTGCCACAGAAGAGTTGGTTATCCTGTTGGTAGCTCTATTTGTATAGGCACAATTTCACATATTCATCTGCTTGAAATAAACAAAGGCCCTTTTTTCAATAGCATTATGTTTATTTCATAAAACATACAATTAACAAAATGCCTTTCTGATGTAGATATTTTTAGACTTTTTATTTTTTTAAGGTGCGGGAGAAACGGGACTTACCCTAATGCTGCAAAGCAGGCAGTCACGGAGAACATTTGTGTTTAAAATGCAATCTGAAGAAAAAAAGAAGAAGAAGAAATAAGGAATTATATAAACAAACAACAGTATGACACTTTCAAGTTACTTCTACAATGTTAATTGATTAATACATTGAAAGTATAAATCTTTTCACATTGTTCTTGAGGGGCTATGTCTCTTGACTCTTTATTTATATCACTTATTCTTGTCTGGCAACATATGTTACCGATTTATTATAGTATTTTACTGTTAGCTAGACAAATCTAAGGGCTAGCTGAAAAGGGTAGTTTCATCTGATGAGTTTAACAACAATTGCAGGGCATCCTTTAGGGTGAGCCAATAGGCTCTTTTGAAGCTATAATACTCACTATTAACCATTTTGATGCTGAAATATTTTTATTGCTAAAGTTTGGTCTTTCTACATGTGTGCCTCCTTTTTGTTTCAAATATATACAAAACTACATATACATCATTGTTTGGCCAACATTCACCTAACAAATGGTTTTCCTGTATGTATCTCAGACCATCTTGCAAGTTATTGACATATATTAGAAGTTTGTATTGAAAAAAATAAGTATTCGGACCGATGGGAAACATATTTTAGTGAACAGTCATCAACTAATTCTATACTGCATTACAAATGCAAACAAATATTAATTTGTGTTTAAGCACTCAAAATTTCTCTAGTATAGTTAGTTACTGACAATCAGAAAGAGAATTCTTAGAATTTTTTCCTACCAAGAATGCACCCTATAAAATGTAAATTTTTGAGTGGATGCACCAACAATTAACAAAGTCTTGAGTAAATTAGGGTCCAGCCAGGTTTGTGTTTTACTTCTACATGTAATGTTTAAATGACTTGTTCTGAAATAAAATATTGACTTTCCCAGCTTTGTTCTTTATTAATTTTGAATTGAAAGTAACACAAACAGCCTTGTTTCCGTGAGGAGAAATGTCTTCTTTCCTGTTCTGATTTTCAAAATGTCAGATTTTAACCATCACAGATAAGTTCATTTATTTATAAAAATTGAAATGAGCACCAATACATTAATAAATAACATTTCAGAGTCTTGGGGGAGGGGGGAGAACACTGTCGTCCTACAAAAAGAAATAAGATTGAAAAGTAACTGCTCCAAACTGGTTAACACAACTAGACTACCCTTTTTGATATTCAGATAACAGGGGTTTGACTCAAGGCCAAAATAAGCCTGAAAGTTTTTTCAGTGCTGAAACTCCATCTTGAATGTCTAGCAGCCAACAGGTTCCCAGAGCCTACCAGTTGTGTGGACATATTTAGTAATAGCATATTACATCTGTAAATCTCAATCCCTGGCACCCAGAGATTAACTCAGTTCATTATACCTACCGATGTATTCTAGCATGGGATATATAAGATAACCACCGAGATGGGGGCATTGAGACCCTTGTAATACCAAGGAATGAAGGGATCAGATAAGGACAGACTTGTAACCTTCACTCTGAGTTTCCTTGTTCTTGGGGGTTAAATCAGATCCTTGGTGTTATATAAATCTACTGTAACTCTTTGTATTTTAATTTCCTTTGTATCTTTATAGCTCTAGTCTCAAAACCAGAAAAGCCCCTCACATGAAATTTTCATGAAAGCACATGATTAAAGTAGCTATGATCTAATGAATGTTAGTTAAATATAGCAAATGTAAATATGTAGGAATCATAAATAAATCCAACTAAATGCTTTAAAAGGGGAGTTTTGACTCAATAGATGCAGCAACTTTTCTCATGTCATTTGTGGATTCTTGACAAATTATCTCACAACATAGTATATTGGCATAGTAAGTGCTGTTTTAGTGGGTCGAGGTAATAAACAATAGCTGATTTTCAAATGATAAGAGCTCATCTGTTATCAAATTATATTTATTTTTAATCATGAAAATAGCCAAACATTTCCATTATGGATAAAAGTCTTGTGGGAAATTACACGCACTTATTTGAGTTGTAATAGTAGTGCAAAATCAGCTTTGAAATGGGCACCTTTTTAATGAAATTTCTGTAAATAGTCCATTTTTCCACCAAAAACTTTATTCATACCCCAGCTGACCTCATGCAATGACTTTCCACCTACACGGAATCTTTGCAATATAGGTCTAAGCTTCTAAAAACCAGTTCTTACCATGGAAACACTGAGAGTCATTTAACTGAAGTGGTACCATTAATATTGCTGTAATCAAGGGATTGAGGTCTTGATTTTATTTTTATTTTCATTTAGGCAAGTGTCACTAATGTTCTGGATAAATGTCAAAGGCTGTGGTTCAGTTAGGCTATTAGAACCTTGTGTTGCAATTATTACTCCTATTCAACTCTATATATAAATATGCTTCTGGCAATCTCATGATTAAACTCCTGGGTTTTTTTGTTTAGGGATTTCTCGCTCGCTTGCTCACTCGCTTTCTGTTTTGTCCATCACCTTGGTTTCTTTCCCCTGTTTTGACCTGCACTTTTTCTGGATCAGACACTGGCAGGTTGAGAGGTAATAAGAACCAGATGGACATAGTGCAGAAATTGCCCAAATGGGTATGGGAATGTGGGGAGCTGTCAGGCATGCAGAGAAGCTGGAATTTTTCAGCAATAAAATGGGATTTATCACCACTCTACCACAGTCATTGCCGACAACCGTTTACCTTGACAGAAACCCCATTCCAATAGGCCACTCCGATGCAGATTTTTTTTCCCAAAGAGTGATGATTGGTATTTGTTCTAAGGCTCAAATGGCCTGCACTAAAGGTGAAGCATTAGGCCAAAGTCCTGTATTCCCTACTGAGGCAATGAACCTGCTAAAATAAGTTCCTTCCACAATAGCTGTGTAATTGAAACCAGAAAGTGAGAGAATTTGATAAATTGCTTGACCCTGAAGGAATGCTAAGGTCATAAATTTTCATTGCATTTCCCCCTCTTTTTAAATTTTTTTAATATATTGATTAATTTAGTATTTGTATCAGAATTTCAACAAGTTTACAGATCATCATCAGCGGTTGCCTATTGGGAAAGGATGGGAACTTAACAATTAAAAAGGCCTAGTGGATTCCCACCTTACGTCTTCCCAAGATGGATCAAGGATACAAAGTATTAATGAATGGCAGTTCTCATGTATTGCATCTCAGGAATACACCACATAAATTGCTAACAACCTGAAATGGGAACTTTAGAAAGTGCAATCCATTAAAAAGATTGTAACAAAGAAATCACACTGTACTTCATGAATGATAAAGTGTAAAAAGGCTTGCAAATTACTTACAATGATCAAACATTCATTTCCACTCTTACCGTTTTTGTTCATGGTACCACAGACATTACAACAATTGCATTTTACCTTGAAATGATTGTCACTGGTATTATTAAATAAAACAATTTTCTTTTTCTTTTCTTTTTTAATTTTTTTTTACCTCAGTAGCTTACTGTGGAACATATCAGCAAACTTCTTTGTACCTACCACCCCCACTAAAAAGACAAGCTGAAATACCAGGCTAAGATAGAAATTGCGATGCTGGACTGTACAAAAGAACTATCTTTAAACTGTAGTAGTTTAATTTTTATAACTGCATTAATTGTGTTATATTATAGTAACTGGTCTTTATAATCTTGCTGCTTTCTCCTGGTTTAACTATAACATTTCAGTGGCAGTAATCCCACCATAGCACTTGGATAAAGCATTACACTTTACATAGCCATACATACTTAACCCAACATTCAGCAAGTTAAATAATCATTAGCACAGTAACCCATTGCTATCAAAAATGTCCTGGTCCTCTAAATTTTAAATTAATGGTCTGTCTTCCTAGCAGCGTATGTCTGGTTTTTGAACCACTTCAGCATGAAGTCAGGGACATTTTATCAGTACACATTAGACAACTTTTATTATTGACATTTCAAGATTAAAAAGTCACAGAGGGGAATAGTTGTTGCTGAATTGTTTCGTCTCTAAATCTCTGATTTTAAAACAATCCAGTCTGAGTGCTAATTATCAGCCAACATTACAGTGTACAAGCTGTAGGTATGTAGCGGGGTTGGTGTGCTTTGAAAAGTTTTTTTCTTCCAAAACCAAGTAAATAGGATGATGGGGGCAAAAGTTATAAGATGCATTTTGTAAAATGTCAGCTAAAGGACAGTGAATAATTTATATTTGTATACTCCACTTTCATTTAATTTTTCAAAAAAAAGGAAGTTTGCCATTTATGTATATATATGTGTGTGTGTGTTTCCCCTTTGAGAGTTCACATTTTTTTATATTGTAACTGTTTATTTTGGAACCAAAAATCGCCCCCCCCCTTTAAATGAAGAAGTAGGGGTTTGGGTCATAAAAATTCTTAAAACAGTTATTTCTACAGAGAATGAAGAAATATCAGCTCTGTTTGCAACTGGAGAGGAAAAAAGATAAAAACTTGGAATATAACCTAAAAATGCAAAGTAAAATGACATATTAAAATGAGAATTTTCATATGTTACTGTATAAATATTTTAATAAAAGTTCTAAACTAATGCGCACCCTGTCTGCTTTTATAAAAGAGAAACATTATGATGTGCAAGTGATGCAGCTTAGATGTATATTTCTGGCTTGGGTTTTTCACCATTAAAATGTTTCTTCATGCTTCCACTCAAGAATTTTGTTGCAGAACCACTTCAGACCAAAAAAGTATAAATCTCATAAGTATAAATAAAATATGAACAGAAAATGGCTTCAATCACTAATATTTTTGCAAACTAATGTTCGGCTGATGCAACTCAATTTTATTTTGCATCACATTAGTGTCATAATGGTAATGACTGGCCTTTATTCACTAACAGTTTGAGTCAGCACTTTGAGACATTTTTCAAATTAGGTCATACTGCAAATTTGTGGCTGATACAAAGGTTGATTAAGAGAGCTGCACGATTTTAAAGTGATGTTGTGTGAGGAGAATTAAGTTCTGTGTGATAGTTCCGGGAAATGGGAGCCACCATAAGTAAGGAGAAATAATGTATGGGCAATAGGGGGGAGAACATATTTCCACAGAGTGCTTGAAGTAATACTCATTTACAATTTAACAAAGTCCTCTCTCTCCTCTGGAAGAATTGTATTATGGATCTTGAAAACAAGCAATGAATTACAATGAAGACACAGAGAGGTGATCCCTGCTCTTGTTTCAGCGAAAGTCAGTTCTCTTCTTTTATGTTTCTTTGATCTTGTCAGTAAAGACAAATTCTTTTTTTTTTCCTAGAGACTTGTCTTTATGAAGCTAAAATGATCCCATGTCACAACGAGACCATTAACCCATAATGTAACAAGTCCGAGGTGAGGCTAAATTGCTGCGTAAGCTAATGCTGAAAAATTATTGGACAGATTTTCAGAAGTGATCAGCTCCTAGTTAGACACCTAAATGAAGTACTCAGCAGCTCCTGCAGACCTCAGGGGGTTTACTACAAAAGAAACTAAGAAAATAGGCACCAAAATGAAGTGGCCAGATTGTCAAAGGTGCTCAGCACCCAATCGCTCCTAAGTGGGAGCTGAGCTGAGCTCTTGTGAAAACCTGTTTAAAGGAATAACACTGCGGCTGTTGTTGTGAGGCCACAATACTAAACTTGCACAGCCGTTGGGTTTTTATTTTTAAACTCTGTTTTTGCAGGGAATCAATAACAACCTGTGAGAGGCAGAGTCCCTCTTAATTGGATGTAAGTGGATGAAAGTCAAACCAGAAAAAAAAAGTTGGCAGTTAAGTCATTAGTTCACTTGACAAGGCAAAAAGCTATTATTAGCCGTTATGTTTGCTTCACGCATTAGGCTCAAAAGAAGCAACTATTGGAGTCTGATCAGTTACACCAAAGAAAAACACTAAAAGGAGGATTTACTTTGGTGAAATTGAGATCAGAATACCCTGTGTAACTCGTCTATATTTATTTTTACTTTGGTATCTTAAAGATCTAGCAAAACCGAAATGAAATGGAAATGATTTTTAAAATCTGATCTGAAAGAGAGAATCTGTTGCTACAGGACTATCTCTGAAGACTAGTGAGCTGTTCCACGTTCTGTTTTTTACATTATCCTTAGTGTCTTTGTACTAAAGTCCATGAACTTGTATTTGTGACACAGGCAGCTGACTTTATTTTTTGATGTTGTGGTCACCCACAGACTTTTCCATTCTCCATATGTTTCTGGATTCAGTCACTTCACCCACAGGCCTGTTTGACAGTAAAACACCTCAGATCCCTCAGAATGGCAAAGTCCATTTTATTCCCAGTCACTTTCAATTTGCATCTAGTGTTTCTCTGAAGGTTTTAGCAAATGTGATTTCTGGGACCAAAAATAAAGGAGGGGAAAAGTAGCAGGCAGACCACAAATGTGAAGGTGGCATAATCCAAAAAAGAGGTCTCTGTAAGTGGTATTTTCGAAAAGTACCCAATTAGGAACATGACTCTCTAATAGCCATAATTGTTTTCAGTATTTAGAGGTATGTTTACACTTTCACCAACTTAAGCTTTTCATCAGAGTAAAAGGAAAATGATCTTTAAATTCTAAAAATAATATAAAGTGTAAACTGGTTTTAAATCTTTTTAAAAAATTATTTATTTTTCCTCTTCTATCAAAACAAATCTCTCTTTGGGGCTGATCCTACAGAACGTATTCAAGCAAATCTCCCACCGATTCATTAAGAGTTGTGCAAAGGTATATACTGCAGCTCAGTAATATTGCCAATCCAAAATGTTCAAAAATCATGACTCAGGCCTCAAAACGCGAGATTGTTTTAAGCCAATCATGAGAATTTAAAAATAATAATAATAAATGTGGGGCTCCTTTGATTTGCCTTGTGCTTTCTGAACTTTAAGGGTGCATTTGGGCCTGTTTCCAGGCTAGTCTTTGTGCCATCACTTACATAGTTTTTTAAAACATAAAAGCTGAGATTCTCACAAACACTTGGCCCCAGAAACCAGTGCTATCAGGAAAAACAGCAAATCAGAGAATATCAGGGTTGGAAGGGACCTCAGGAGGTCATCTAGTCCAACCCCCTGCTCAAAGCAGAACCAATCCCCAACTAAATCATCCCAGCCAGGGCTTTGTCAAGCCTGACCTTAAAAACCTCTAAGGAAGGAGATTCCACCACCACCCTAGGTAACCCATTCCAGTGTTCTCTGAATGGGCAACATAGGATCAGGCCACTTGTCTTGTTATTGATTGCTGTAAATCACTGGTTTGGTTTGGTTTGAGAAAGAGCCTAATCTTGTCTATTATAGCTACCACTTCTTTAACTCTAGCATTTGCTTTTAGTTCTGGAGGCCCTCGGTACAATCACCATGAGGACGTTCTTTACAGGTGCACGTCCAGTTGGAATATTTTAATATGCAAATTTAAAATTAGCTTCTGCAAATATTCAGACATGAAACTTTGTGCCAGTAAATCTGATGTACATGGATGTTCATGGAAAATGAACACAAAGGGCCATAGGCAGAGTCAATCTGATTGTACATGTCGTACTGCAGGGGCCATTCCTTATTAGCCATACCAAGCAAAGGGTTTTAAAATAATCATTTTGAAGGCCAAACTAAAAAGTAACCATCCTCTTACACATGCTGGCTCAATTTAAAGAAAAGATTCACATTCACCACAGCCCCTTGGTATTTCTCTGGCCAGACCTCCCCTTGCGTGAGAGCGTCTGGCATGCAGAATCTCAGATAGTGGCGCAAAGAAGAGCAAACCCAGTTTGACTTTCAAACTCCAGTTTGAGTTTATTATAAGGCTGTCAGTTAGGAGGAAAATCTAAACTGGGACATCTCAACCTGGAAGTCTCTGAGCTCAGAGTAACATGGAACCTTACAACGACATTCGCACGGGTTGGTTTTTAAGAGTTTTAACTGCACCTTAGGTGAAATTCACACTTGCACCTGGCCTACAGGAGACTGAAATCACCATTCTTCAGGCCATCTCCATTGGAGCAAATATCCCCGGGGCCCACACTTACTAACTTTACATCACAGAAAAGTCAACCCTGCTGCTAGGCCAGGGTTTTAAAGTAAATTTGGTTGATCCTTCCATAATTTGGGCCAGATTGTAGCCAGTTTCATCACAGGTGTGCAAGGTTGGAGGAGAGCACTTAAGAATTTCCACCCCTCATCCCTGCCCTTGTTCAGGGGCCCTGAGCAAAAGGTTTATCACCTGTTAGCACCCATGAAGTACGATCCACCTTAAAACGGGGAGGAGGAGGTAGCCATTAGTTCATCACATGCAGGGCAGTGAAGCTAGCCAGTTGCACAGTGCAAGCACTATCCCTTTAAGAAGTGAAGCAGCAAGTGTGCTTTCCTGACACACTCCCTGAGACTTAGCGCCTCCAAGAACGCCCTTTGGGATAGGGTGGCCCCAATCACAGCATTTGTGCCAATGGCTCAGAGGCAGGACGTAGGCCTTGAGCAGCTACCAGGAGGCATTGTTCAACAACTGAGATGTCTTCACTAAGATATCATGTAAAACAGGTGAGAGAATCTATTCATTTGTAAAGCGATTAGGGGGCAGCCAGTTTCCTTCACCAGCTCAATTGAGTAGGTGAGAAAAGCATCTAGTTAGCTAAATTTATTAATATGCTTTTTTTCAGGATACAGCTACATTATGGAGGTGAAACATGACTTTTGATGCTCAAGCATGCAGTGATTAAATAAGGTTAATCCTCATTTTATATGCTAATAGGATATTTATAATCTCAACTGCGTATCCCATTTAGCTATTTTATTTTCTGTTGTTAAGAAAGTATTTCTTATTAGTGAAAGAGAATACCCCTACGTTCACTGCAGATGCTATTTTAATTGGGCTCAAGTGCATTGTGTGTAATTAGTCCACTTCTTTAATATTTCATCTATAATTACACTATGAGCAATGTGCTTAAATTTCATAAAGGCTGCCAGTTAATTTTTTTTTTAAGAACTAATGAATTAATTGGTGACCTTTCATGGGTACCTGATGATTCGAACTTAAATCTAGCCCTGGCCAGAAGAGTCACATTTTCAAAATGGCTACTGAATTTTGAATGCCCAGTCTGAGATACAATTGGGTCTGATTTCTACAAGAGCTAAGCACCCTCAGCGCCTATTAGCTTCAAATGAAGTTTAAATGAAGCTCAGCACATTTAAAAAATCAGGCGTAAGGCGTCTTACTTTGGACACCAAAATCAGTGGCCATTTTAGCAAATGTTGGCTGTAATGGATGACTGAAAAGGGTGAAAATGAAGCAAACATGATGCTTCATGCCAGGTCATTGTCATCCAACTAATAAACCAGTCAAGTGGTGCAGTTATTTGAAAAAGGGCAAAGATCTGGCATATTGTGAAACTGAAAGTACTTCTGTGCCCCACGATGATAACAGTATTGCCACCTTAAAAAAAAAAGTCAGCTCTGAATGTGGTGCAGTAGACAAATGTGCCATCGTCCTGCCAACATAAAAAGTGTGAAGATCTGCCCTGAAAAGAGAAAGTTGAGGGGTGACTTGATTACAGTCTATAAGTACTTACCTGGGAAAC